CACGTGGGGAAGGCAGGGGGGTTCTCACTTTCTCTCTGTCTTTCTGGCAAAACCTCTCAAAAAAGTATAATAATGTATATAGTAATATCTTTGGATTCATGTACAATGTATTCATGTTGGAAAATCCATTCTGTACTTTGTAAAGATGTGCAGTGATTGAGTAAAAAAATAAATAAATAGGGGAGCTGGCAGGTGGCATAGTGGTTGAGGATGCTGGACTCCTACATGACTGACCACAGTTCGAGTCCTGGATCTGGCAGCTTGCGTTCTCATTTTCTCTCGCGCTCACTCTGTCCCTCTCTGGTCAAATTAAAAATAAATAAAGTTAAATAAAATAAATCTTTTTTATTTTTTTTTTTTTTTGGAGAGGTTTTCGCTATAGGGCGCATGCGCTCGCCAGACAGACAGAGACATAGAGACAGAAAGCGAGAAATCACCCTCCAGGGGGGGATGGCCACGCCGCAATCCCTTCTCCTCCATTCTCCTCTCGATCTTGGGTACGCACGCACACGCGCCTGGCGTGAGTTTCAAGCAACCGGGTTCGGGACACGAACCGCAGCCAACCACGTGGGAGTCCAGTGACATAGCCATTACGCTAACTGCTGGTCTTGGTCCCAATAATTCTTTAAAATAAATAAGTAAATAAAAGAATGAAGAGGGGAAAATTAAATGATTCTCTTTAAAAAAAAAAAAAAAAGATTTTTTTTTTTAGGATCCAAAGTTCTAAGTGATTTCTCCAGACACAAGTCTTCTAGTATTTTAGAAATGTGGGTCACACCAAAAAGCTGAGCCAAGCAGTAAACGGCCGGAAATAGAATCTCTCTTGACGTCTCAAGTTTTTGTACCTTCCCTCTTCCTACACTGTAAAAACCACAGAAAACCCAACACAGGAAAGCCTACTGCAAAGCATAGCTTAAGGTTTTGTGCGCCCCAGCCCCATTTATCGATTAGTCCCCGGAAGGCGTGGCTCCAAAGGGATCTGGGAAACAGAGTTCTTTCGCGTCTCGTTTCCTCCCCCAGAAATACTCGGAACTAGCACGAACCTGCTATCAGCCCCGCCCCCTCGTGGCACGCTGGGAAATGGAGTCTCGGCTGGATTTTAATCGGCGCCCTGCTTTTTTGCAGCCTTAGGAAAGTTCTGTCAACTCGGTCTGTTCCTGACTGCAATTCCCAGCGGCCACAGAGCGGTAGACAGCCGGGCACATTCAAGGCTTTTCGGACTACATTTCCCAGGAAGCAAAGCGCGGTCATGCTTCCGCTCTCTTGGCAAAAGCATGCGGTTGGGTCACGCACAGCTTGAAGCGGAGGTTTCTGGGAATTGTAGTTTCCCAGACCTACGGTGCCTGCTGCCCTCTGACGGCAGCTCTGAGTAGAAAGTAAAATCTGAGTCAAGCCCCAAGCCCCAGGAAATCTGACACAGGACCGAGGCGGCTCGCATGGCAGCGGAGCGGGTGGGATAGCGGCGGTTACTTAACGGCCAGTATGCATGGGATATGCGCAGTGGGCCGCGCGTGGGCAACCGCCAGGAGAGGACTGGGGTCCCAGGGAGTTGGAAGGCGACGGACTGAAGAAATCCATCAGGAAGATTGTAGGGGAATGGAATGTTCGAAGAGAGGTGATAAATGTGTTTGAGAAGAGCCTATAGGTGTCTGGAAGGGCTGTGGAGGTGTGTGTGTTTGGGGGGGTGGCTTTGATGGTCTATAGGCCTCTGGGAACAATTATTGGGGAACAGTAGAGAAGACTGAAAAGGAGGCCAGCAGATGGCGTAATGGTTACCTCACTGGACTCCTACATAGTGGACCATGGTTCGAGGCCGGGCTGGTGACTTAAAATTCACACTGGGTACGTGTGTGTGCATTCTCGAAATCCCCAGAGGAGAATGGAGGGAAGACTGTGGCCTGGAGGGAGGACTGTGGCATGGTCAACCTCCCTGGGGGTTCATTACTTCCTTTCTGTCTCTTAGGGTGCATACCCTATAACCAAATCTCTGTTAAAAAAGAGAGGACTGAAGAGACTTAGGGTGTCTGTAACAGGCCTTTTAGAGACTGAAGAATTATCAAGGGCTGAGGTGGGAAGGCTGGGAAGGGTTGAGGGATGGTCAAGTATCAAAGTTTTGGGGGTCTGAAGCGGTGTTGTGAGACCAGACTGCAAAGACCATCTCTGATGGGATTAATCTGAAATGTCCTGAAATTTATAAAGGGCTTTCTACTTGGAACCAAGGGTCTCAGAGGATATGGATGGAGCCAAGGGTTCCTTCTTGCTGGCACATTTAGGCCTGCAAAAGGATTTAGGTGACTAATTAAAGATTGGGAGAGCCTGGGACCAGCAGATGGCGTAATGGTTATGTCGCTGGACTCCCACTTGACTGATGGGAGCTCCGGAGTCTGGGACCTAGTGGCTTCAAACTCACGCTGGGTGCGTGTGCGTGCGTGCCCAAGATCCAGGGAGGAGAATGGAGATGGGATTGCAGCATGGCCATCCCCCCCAAGGAGGTGGTTTCTCACTTTCTGTCTCTCTGTCTCTGTCTCTCCAGCCAGCACACATGCTCTATAGCAAAAATCTCTTAAAAAGAAATAAAAATTGGGGGAGCCGCTGGCTCTTTCAAGCTCCAGATGTCACCAGCCAGAATCTGGAGCTGAGCACTTAGGAATCATTGTTAGATGTGGCTACAAGTGTTTTAACTGAAGACAGGGTGGGGCTACTAGCAGGGTCCTCCCACTCTTCCCCTAGTGACATCCCCCTTTCTCCATCACCCCACCACACCAACTCAGCTGCATCTGTGTTGCCAGGAGACAGGCTTCATCCCAACTTCCAGAAATAGCCCAGTGGCCCCCACCCCAGGGAATGACTTACATCACCCAGGAGAGGGAGCAGTTGCCCACAGGCTGCCACAGGAGCCTTGGTTTCCTGCCAGTCCCCCAGCCTTGGTTCCTCTCTTCACTGCCAACCAACCATCATCTGGGACCACCCACCCAGGGCTGACAGGCAGTGAGGTTAATCGGAGTAGGGAGTAATTTCCAGTCACTGTTCCTAACCCCTTGGGGGAGGGGGGGCTTCATGGTGAAGCCAGTCCAAGAGGCCCTCAGTCTCGATTCCCATTCCACCTCAGCGGCCTTGGGGAACACCTGCCCTTTCTGGGCCTCAGTCTGGCTTTCCTCAGGGCACTTCTATCCTGGACTCCTTGTTGTGAGTTTCATCAGGCTCAAGCTCACCAATTTCCCCTTCCAACTATGTGAACTCATCTCAGATCCTATGAGCCAGAGCCTCAGGTCCAGATCCAACTATCTTGGCTTTAGTGGGGGAGAATTCAGGAATTGTTGAAGGAACATGGTAGCGTAGGGCTGGCACATGGCATGGAGGTAAAGGAAGTTGGGTCCAGGGACCAGAAGATGGCGAAATATTTACGTCGCTGGACTCTCACATAGGCCACCGCAGTTCACTCAGACCCACAGCCTAAAACTCACCCTGGGGACATGTGTGTGTGCCCAAGGTCCTGGAGAGGAGAATGGAGAAGGGATGAGGTGTGGCCATCTCCCCGGGGGGTGATTTTTTTCTCTCTCTGGTGAGCGCATGTGCTGTATACCAAAATCTCTTAAAAAAAAAAGGAAGTTGGATCCACATGGCCAATTACTCGCTCTGAATCCCAAACCACCCGGTGGCTTGAGAAACACACTAGGCACGTGTGCATGTGTGCCCCAAGTCCCGACAGGAGGAAGAGCTAGAGAAGGATTCATTCTCCACAGTGGGTCTTCTTTCCTTCCCCCTCCGCCCCCCCACAAGCAATCGCACACACCCCTGGCCAAATTTTTAGAAATAGTAAGAAAAAAAATGGGCTTAGAAGACGGGAGGCCTGGCTCGGCTTTAGGGACTGGGCAAATGATCTAAACGAGCCAGCTGCCCCTGCTTCCTGGGAGGTGAGTTCATTGCAGCTCCGAGCGCTTGGCACACATGGGTCCATCAGTAGCACTGAGATGTGCGCTGGCTGCGGGTGTCCCCACGGCTGGGCCAGAAGAGCACCAAGTTCCCTTACAAGGCCCACACATCTCAGGAGACATGTCTCCACAGAACTCCCAGCTCAGCTCAGAGCACACCAAGGAGAGGGACCTGGCAAGGTGCTTGAGGGAGTCCAAGAGCGCTTGGCTTTCGGAGGAACCTGGGGTATGGGTAGGAATTCGGAAAGCTGCAGAGGGCAGGCTCTTCAGGCAACCAAGGGCAAAAGGGTGACAGTGAGGACTCTCAAGAGCTTCCAAGGACAAGCAGATTCCCCCAGAAAAGGGGAACTGAGAACCAGAGTAAGCCTGAGACCCCAGCTCTAGGGTTTGTGTGTCCCCAAGGTCAGATGGTTTCCCAGGCTGGATTTGACCCTTCGGGATGAGCTTAGCTACAGCTCCTTCAGCCAGACCCACTGGGGGGGCCAGTTTCAGAGCTGAGCAGAGGCTGTGTCCCTGCAGAGCTTGCATCCAGCACCTAGGACAGATCACCGCATCCAAAGGTCCAAAGTTTTATTGTTTTGAATACATTCTCCAGCGGCCCCCCTACGGTCCCCCCACCCTCCATCCCCAATACAGAATAAGGCTTGACCACAGTCCCCCCCATCCCACCCCAGGGGCCCCAGATGGAGACAGAGGGGGCTTTCCAGTTTGGTTTCAGGGCACCCCCCTTACCATCTCCCCCCACCCACCTGCCCATGGGCCAGTCCTAGGAGCAGCTGGGGGTGAAGGGGTTGGACCAGTGCTGGGGTGGGGAGTGGATAAAGGATAGCAGGCACTTGTAGAGATTTGTGGCCCATGGGCGGCACCCCTCACCCTCCTCTGCCCTCCATCCCCCAACACAGAATTTTTGGTTCATCTTAAAACTGTCCCTCCCTCCCCTGCTGCAACCTTGTGGGGTATGAGAAACCCAGGCACTCGAGGCCCCTGGAGGGGCAGGGAAGGCAGGGCTAGGGGAAGGATGTTTGGGGGGGGAGGTGGACAAAGGGAGAGAGTTACAAGAGGCAAGAGAACAGGGAGGGAGACAAGGCTTTACTTCCTAAGCGATTGTAATAAAAAAGTTCCTGGGCATGGAGGACAAAGCCTCAGTTCAAATATAAATTCCCCAGAATGGAGGTGGCCCCCTTTACTTCCCCCTTCCACCCCGCTACCACCACTCTGCCCAGAGCTTAGAAACCCAGAGACGGGGGAAAGCCCCCAGCCCTGGGCACCCACCCCCCCCCACCATTTAAAAAAAAATTATTAAAGTTTTATACAAAATGTGGGGTGGGGAGAGAGAGGAGGCAGGGAAGAGACTAGAGGGCTGCCCTCACCTCCAGGGCATGGGGGTTTAAGGCAGCAAAAGAAGCATGGGGTGGGACACACCTGGGCCCCCTGCCCACAGCCCTCAGGAATCTCGATGCTCCAAGGAGAGTTGGGCAGTGGCGTGCTGGAGGTCTGAGCTCACCCGCCTTGGGGTGAGGGGTCCCCCGGCCTCCCCAGGCCCCTCCCCACGCACCTTCTTGTCCTCACCCTCATCCTCAGGACCCCCAGTGGGGCCCCCACCCCCCTCCAGGCGACAGTCTTCACTCCAGCGCCGCTTAAAGCGCAGCTTGAGGGGCATGCACTGGCCAGCCCCAGAGCCTTCGCCAGGCTCCGGCTTGGGCGGTGCAGGTGGGGCGCGGGGCGTCTTGAACACCTCCCCATCTTCCTCATCCTCATCACTGATGTCAGTCACCTCCACCTCCTCTGACTCGCCTTCTGAGATGGGCTCCACCTTGATCTGTGGTGGGGGCGGCGGGGGGGGGGGGCCGGCCCCCCACGCGCCC